GTTTAAATGCAGAAAAAAATGCAGTTGTTTTTCCAGTAGAGTCGGGCGTTATTCCAGTTAAGCCGCCTTCTCTCACTCCTACGGCAGAAATGGAAGGAAATCTACTAGGGCAGGGGTAGGCAACCTCAACTCTTTTATGACTCGTGGACTTCAACTCCCAGAACTCGTGGACTTCAACTCCCAGAATTCCTGAGTCAGCTATGCTGTCATAAAAGAGCCGAGGTTGCCTACCCCTGTAAACTAGGGGAAAGGCCAGGGTCCACCTGGAAGGCCCGCAAGGCATTAGCATCAGCAAAAAAGGTACACAATATGCTCCAATGTTCACAATGCATAAGAAATGTGCTAGTTCCCAAGCCGCTGGCCTTCCTGTGCGGGCTGCAGGCTATTGGGGTTCGGTACCTCTTTTCTAGCCTTCCAAGTTTGGACCAGGGAAGCCTAATGATCCAATATGGCGCTCGTCCTTTAACACAGGAATGCATCTGAGGCTTAAAACTGGCTTGATTTTCCCCGCCCCCCCCCAAAAGAATTAGGATACAACAAACACATTTGACTCCAGTGATTCCTTAAGAAATTAGGCTGGGGTTCGGATCGAGTCAAGGAAATTGGGGAACAGTGGTGCCCAAAGAGAATGGAAGTGAAGGATAGATGCAGATTGTAAACTGGCCATAGGCAGGGCAGGAAATACATAACCGTAAAAAAAAGCAAGCACTCACTGTGGATCAAGGGGGGGCCTTTTGCTTTCTTCACCCCCAAAAGGGGTGCATGTTTAAGCAAAATAATTTGGTAAAAGTATAAAAACACACACTGGGCTTAAGAAACAAACAAACCAACCAAGCCACTCTTCTCCCAGCTGCAAACCTGGATTTGAAGCAAGGAAAAAAGGAGAACATCATAATGAAGTCTGCAAAAAAACGCCGTAACCTTGGATACAGTTTCCAAGGACACGGGATGGAAAGGGGGGGGGGCTTGACTAACAAAGCTAGTGAATGAGGGTGGCTATATTAATAGAAGAGGCCACATCCAGTGCAACAGCTTGAAAAAAATTGAGTGTGGGGGGTTTTGCAATCTCCCCAAAGAAAAAAAGGTGTTTTGTTCTATTACATTCATGGCTTTTTTTTTTACATTCTTGTTTTTCTTTGGGAGAAGATTTTGCTATGAATCATGGAAAAGAGTTGGCAGGTTTCATCGCTTATTACCTGTCTGGGACCTTCACCCCATCAGTTTCAATAAATGTGCCTGTTAATTCAATTGGAATATCCCAAATTCTGTTACCCTCTCTGCTATTCATGCAGGCCATAAAATGGATTAGGGCAGGGATAGGCAACCTTGGCTCTTTTATGACTCGTGGACTTCAACTCCCAGAATTCCTGAGCCAGCATGGAAACCTCTCCCTTTCTCCTCAGCATGGCTGGCTCAGGAATTCTGGGAGTTGAAGTCCACGAGTCATAAAAGAGCCAAGGTTGCCTACCCCTGGATTAGGGTTTTTCAAACCTGGGCACTTTTAAGACGGGTGGACTTCAACTCCCAGAATTCTCCAGCCAGCACGGTTGGCTGGAGAATTCTGGAATTTGAAGTCCACCCATCTTAAAGTGCCCAGGTTTGGAAAAAAACACACTGACCTAGAAATCAAAGACCAACTTGGAACAGCCTTCTTGATCATCGCAGCTAGGACTTAAACCAGCTTCAGCTGTTCTTAGTTACAGAGAAATGCTCTTCATTATTGCAACCCTTCCTTTTCCCATTAGCTGCAAATTGGTACATTTCAGCAAACCTGGAGCTATTTTTTTTTCCTAGTTGGAATGTAGGCTGGTTAGATCTATTAACATCTGAACTCGAGGGATTTCACCATTTCCCTCAGCGTTGAAGACCCAGGTTTATTACTGAATGAACCTGTCAGGATGTAGTGAATGCCTTTAAGGGGTGGGATGGATGTTGGCTCAGCTGTGAGACATTTCTGAGGACTCTTTGTCCTACAGCACCAAGCAAGAATCTGAGTCACCAAATTTGATTAGAAAGATGGACGATCAATTCCAGCTAGGGTGGTGCTTTATTATTTTCAGTCTCCTAGGGTTGCTAGGGGTGTGGCGGTGATGTAGTATCATCACTGAGGGGAGGGGGCTTAGGGTTGAAATTTTGGGACATGGGTGGCGGAGAGACTTGTTTTGAGATTTTGCAGAAGCTTGTGTTTTGTGTCTACATCAGGGGTCTTCAAACATGGCCCTTTTATGACTTGTGGACTTCAACTCCCAGAATTCCTCAGCCAGGCACGCTGCCTGAGAAATTCTGGGAGTTGAAGTCCACAAGTCATAAAAGGCCAAGTTTGAAGACCCCTGGTCTACATCAGGCTTGGCAGCTTAAAGATGGATGGACTTCAACTCCCATAATTCCCCAGTCATCCTTGCTTGAAGTCCACCCATCTTCAAGCTGCCAAGGTTGAAAAACCCTGGTCTACATACAGGGAAACTGCTTATACTCTGCAGAGATTTATCAAAGTGAAGCAAAACTCAACTACTATGTGACCTTAGGAGAATTAGGGTTTTATTACATAGAAGATGGTCTCCTTTTGCTCTGGGAAATGTGGCTATGGCCACCACAGGAGGAGGACCCCGTGCCAAATGAGAAGTCTGTAGTCTGAACCCCCAAAGGGCTTAGAGAACCTATCTCCAACCAAGTCTGCTAAATATCCAGACATGTGGAAGTGAACTGGAAAAAGAGATTCTTGATCGGCTTATGGTGAGTATAGGAAGGAAGGAAGGAAGGAAGGAAGGAAGAAAGGAAAAAAAGGATGGAAGATAGGAAAAAAAGGATGGAAGGTAGGAAAGTAAGGAAAGGGAAAGAGAAAAAGGGAAGGGAAAAGGAAGAGGGAGGGAAGAGAAGAAGGGAGAAAGAAAAACAGTATCACAATCACATACTGCAATCTCTTCCTGGGTTATTTGCTCCTTTGGCTTTTCCTGTTTTTCCTGTGAGGGGTGTGATTGTGTGTGTGTGTGTGTAGATATCTTTGATTGCCAGGCTTTTCTCCTTTGCTCTGAAGCACTGCCCTGGGGACACCTAGACTTGCGCCTGGTCAACCGTTCCAGGGGTCTCCTAAAGCAGGGGTCGTCAACCTTGGCAACTTTAAGATTTGTGGACTTCAACTCCCAGAATTCCTCAGCCAGCTTGCCAAGGTTGACGACCCCTGTCCTAAAGGACCTCTGCACCCTGAGAGGTCTGTCCGCCATGCACCAACACAGAGGCTGTTTGGGCAAGTCCTATTCTCAAGCATTGCAGGGACATTGCAGGAGGGCTCTTTCAAAGCCGCCTGCAGAGAAAACTCCCACTAAGCAGAGAATAGGAAAATCATCATAGCAGCAAACAGTGGCAGCAAGATTGAGCTTGGCCGTTGCTTGTTTTGGGTCAACAGAGACCACCGTCTAGTTGCCAGCCGTGACTTGGAGATGTCAAATAGTGGAGAAGAAAAATGCAAAGTTTATCTCTGACCAACGCCTCGGATCAAAGCATTTTCAACCTGTAAGCTCATTTCTAATCGGGGGAGCATATAATTACCACTCTTGCTTCATTAAACCTGATGTTTTAAAAAAGGCTCTGTTCAAACTGAGCACGGTAGCTCACAAGCTGAAAACAGGGAAGGGGAAAAGAGGCTGAGAGTTTAGCTTTGCAACAGCCCCGGTGGCTTTGATCGCAGTCCTGTCTCGGTGGCAATCAAAATATCAACTTCTGCTGAGAAGTGGAGCGAAGAGGATTCCCTAGGCCTCCGTGATCTGATGAAGCACCACGACAGTCTTTGCCGGATGAGTGCTCTCTGCTACTCCTGTTTGGCCGCTAACCAACTTCTACAGTGTTGATGCCATTAAAAAGAAAACATGTTAACTGGGACAGGGGTGCTGAACCTTGTCAAGTTGAAGTCTTCTGAACTTCAACTCCCAGAATTCCCCAGCCAGCAAGTCGACAAGGTCCAACACTCGTGAAATAGAGGATTGTCTGCTTCCCACAGTCCACTTCCCATTTCTACTTTTTCTACTGCAAAACCATGAGGGACAGCAGACCAACACAAGAGACTGCACTGCGATAAATGTCAACTCGTTTTAAGGTGCCAGGAAACAATAGTTCTGAAGAAGGGTTCAAGGACGGAAGGCCAGGTCGCCTTCAGTCAAGTATAACTGGATCTCTTCACCTAACCTGGGGTCTCGTTTCAAGGCAGGATTGGGTGGGGAAGAGACAGGCACGGATGGGGATGAAAGGGTAATATGCGTGTCAGCACAGGTACGTATGCCCATGATGGAGGATTTCTTTAAAAGGGGTCATTTAGGTCGAGCAACGATAAACCTTTAGGAAACCTACAAAGTGGAAAGTTCCTTTTCGGGAGAAAATTTGGGAAAAGCCGCAGGGGTTATTGGGTTATTTTAAAAGGGCATGCACATTAAAAAGCAAGTGAAGCCCCCTCACCCTTTCGGGCCTTGCAAATGTTTGGAACGCAAGTTACTCCTCCGAGGAAACTATCACGAGCTTCGGCAAAAAGAACCAGCACTTTGCCACAACTGAAAGGCGGGGCGAGTCCGGTTCTGCTCAAGAAGGCATTTGTGCCTTAGTGCAGGGGTCCTCAAGCTTGGGCAACTTTAAGACTTGTGGACTTCAACTCCCAGAATTCCTCAGCCAGCAAAGCTGGCTGAGGAATTCTGGGAGTTGAAGTCCACAAGTCTTAAAGTTGTCCAAGCTTGAGGACCCCTGCACTAGTGCCCTCCCCCCCCCCCCCCAAAAAAAAAAATATCAGGGTGTATCTCCAAATCCTTGCCAAGGTCTTCGCGAGGTTCTTGCAGATTAAAAAAATACACCAGTGGCATTTACCCTTCACACGAGAACAGCTAGTCTAGGATAAACGTTTTCGAAGCACCCTAAAGCACCAGCACCATTTCACGTGGGCTTCTCGCGTGCCCAGTTCCCCCCCTCCCTCCGGGAACGGCTCCCTCGGGAAGACCAAAGATTGGCCGAGAGCCGTCTGCTTAAAGGAGGTCGGGCAACAGAAGGCCTGGAGGTTTGGGCTCTACGCAATTGATCCAGAAGTTAGCACAGCTGGCGTGGTACTGATGCCCTCCGTAGGCAAGCTTGAAGCTGTCCGTCTCCGAGTTGAAGGCCTAGAGAGAAGGAGACCAAGAAGAAAGTGTGAGAAACACCGCGTGGTGCGTTTGGGCTCGTTGACCTCGAAGGAAGGAAGGAAGGAAGGGCTGACTGCTTTTGGGCTTTCCAAACTTTCTATCAAGGTGCTCTTGAGAAAGGATCTACTTAGTATTTCCTAAACTTGGCCACTTCTAAATGTGTAAACTTCAAATCCCAGAATTCCACAGCTGGGGTACCCACTGATGAGAATTATGGGAGTTGAAGGACACACAATGTGAAGTGGCCAGGGCTTTGAATAGACTAGAATAACATTGTTGGAAGGGATCTTGGAGGTCTTCTAGTCCAACCCCCTGCTCAGGCAGGAAACCTTATTCCATTTCAGACAAATGGCTGTCCAATCTCTTCTTAAAAACTTCCAGTGTTGAAGCATTCACAACTTCTGGAGGCAGGTTGTTCCACTGATTAATTATTCTAACTGTCAGGAAGTTTCTCCTTAGTTTTAGGTTGCTTCTCTCCTTGATGAGTTTCCATCCGTTGCTTCTCATCCTGCCTTCAGGCGCTTTGGAGAATAGCTTGACTCCCTCTTCTTTGTGGCAGCCCCTGAGATATTGGAAGACTGCTATCCTGTCACCCCTCATCCTTCTCTTCATTAAACTAGACAGACCCAATTCCAGCAACCTTTCTTTGTATGTTTTAGCCTCCAGTCCCCTGATCGTCTTTGTTGCTCTTCTCTGCCCTCTTTCTAGAGTCTCAGCGTCTTTTTTACATTGTGGTTTTGGGAAATGCTGGTCTAACCTAAATGAACCTAACTCAAACTCAGGGATGAAGTGCAGCAAGCGTGGTTCCAAATTGCAGTGGCATGTCATCCAAGTTGAATCCAGAGATGCTCTATTAAATGCAGGTTGTCCCTGATTTACAGCCAATCGCTTATCAACTGTTTAAAGCAGTGGTGGCGAACCTATGGCACGCGGGCCAGAGGAGGCACTCAGAGCCCTCTCTGTGGGCACGCGCGCCATGCCCCGGAGATGACAACCGTCCCTCTTCAACCAGCTGCCTGCTAACTCGCTGAGGTCCCACGTGGCCGGATGCATCCCAGCACCCATGCGCTCGCTGGCCTCTGTGTGCAGGGGCCGATGGTGTCAGGCAGCAGCCACCTGGCCCCTGCCTCACCTTGCCCTGTGACAATGGCACCCCTGCCCTGCCTTGCCTTGCCTTGCCTCACCCCGCAGGACGAGCCTCCTGCCCACCTGCCAGAGACCCCCTGGATCTCCCCCAACCCTATTCGGCTCCCACAGGCGTCCCTCTCCACGAGCAACATTGAGGTGATCACACCCACCTTGGCCACACCCATCTAATCTGCCATGACCACCACAGCCACGCCCATCCAGTGGGCCATGCCTACCTGGCACCCAGCAATAAATAAATGGGTTTGGGGTTGCAGTTTGGGCACTCGGTCTCTAAAAGGTTCGCCATCACTGGTTTAAAGTTACAATGGTACTGAAAAAGGTGACCAATCCTCACACTTATGACCGCAGCACCATCTCCGCGGTCATATGATCAAAAATCTGGGTGTTTGGCAACCAGTATGTACTTACAGTGGTTGCAGCATCCCAGAGACAGGTGACTGCCATTTGTGGCTTTCCGAGCTAGCTTTCAACAAGCAAAGTCAATGGGGGAAGATGGATTTGCTTAACAACTGCATGTTTCGCTTAACAACTGCTGTGATTCACTTAACAAACAGGGCCAAAAGGTCGTAAAATCGAGCAAAACTCACTTCACTCTTGCCCTGCTTAGCAACGGAAATTTTGGTCCTAATTGTGGTAGTAAAGTCAAGGCCTATTTGTAAAACTGGGAAGACAAAGAGGTGTAGGGCAGATCTGAAGATACACCTTGCCAGACCCTGGGGGTTCTCCCTAGTAAAATCTGATCACTGCCCTGCAATCTTTTCCGTTTCGTGATGTCAGGCAAAGTTCTTCTCCTTTTCTTGAATTTTCTACACAAACAATGTTAGTTTTGCTGACTAGTCCACTGTGCAAGGCCTACTTTTTCTAATCCTGACAAATGCAGGTTGTTATTATTGATTGCCCAGTTATCTATCATCTGCCAAAATGGAACAAGACCAGAAAAACTGGTAGAACGTCCCAGGGTGGGGTGAATTAAATGCATGTTCACGTACTGGAACTTTGCACCTGGCTTCTAGGTGGACAGATAGACCTCGACTTACGATCAGAATTTCCACCGCTAAGCAACGGAAGCAGTTGTTAAGTGGGGTTGGGCCTATTTTATCACCTTTCTTGCCAGAGTTGTTAAATGAATCACTGCAGTTGTTAAGTTAGCAACACAGTTAGTAACACCTGTCTGAGATGGTATAGGTTCTCCTGCTTGAGCAGGGGGGGCTGGACTAGAAGACCTCCAAGGTCCCTTCCAGCTCCTATTCTATTCTAGATTCTAGTTGTTAAGTGAATCTGGCTTCCCCATTGACGCTGCTTGTGAGAGGGTCGCAAAAGGGGGATCACGTGACCCCGGGACACTGCAACCGTCATAAATATGAACCAGTTGCAAAGCGTCCGGAGTTTGATCACGTGACCATGGGGGTGCAGCAACGGTTGTTAGTGTGAAAAATGGCCATAAGTCACTTTTTTCTGGGCCACTGCAACTTCCAACGGTCACTAAATGAATGGTTGTAAGTCAAGAACTTCCTGTAGATCAGTGTTTCTCAACCTTGACAATTTTAAGACATGTGGACTTCAACTCCCAGAATTCCACAGCCAGCATTGCTGGCTGTGGAATTCTGGGAGTTGAAGTCCACATGCTTTAAAATTGTCAAGGTTGAGAAACACTGCTGTAGATCAAAGGTAAATCTGCCGTAACTTCAAAACAGTTGCTAAGTGGGCAGCCATAAGTCGAGGACTACCTATAAAGGTCCAGTGCAAAAACACTGAGAATTTAGATTCTTAAAGAAGAAACAAAGAACAGAAAGTTCTATCCATCTTTCTTTGGGTGATAAGGAGCCATCAGGAAGCTCAAATGCCTTAACAGACACATAAGTACCAATAACACAGACTACAGAACTGACAACTCCACAGCCACCACACGAGGGACACCAGCACAAAGCAAGCGACTCACAACGTAACCAGCATGCTAACAAGACCAAGAAGAGGAAGGGACATTGACTTGGGCGGTGTGCTGTGTTAGTCGATTAAAATCGAAAGGTTAGACAAAAGGGGGGGTCGCAGAGATTGTGGTTGGAGAACAATGGCCCAAAGCGACGCCAACATCTTGTTTGGGACACACAGTTAAAAAAGAAAAAACAATAAAAGAGTCGGGGGGAGGAAAAACCGGACAAGGTTTATGAATTCGTACTTCTCTAGGATGTTCTTCCAGAGGCATTTCTTCTTTCTGAAAACAATGTCGAAAACCAAAAGAAATGTCAGCAACACCATCGCCAAAACACGGGAGCTGAGGTCTCTGCTCCATGCCGTGACGCTTCATCCCACTGATGGTCAAGGCCTGGAGATTGCCAATCTATACCTTCTTTCATCCTGCCACGCTAAGCAGACATGCTAAGTCAAATCTAGCTTATCCTAGTCTCCGTGGATATCAGCTTTCTCCTACAGTCACTGAGGAAATTGCGCAGCCTCAATTTCCGAGAAGCCCTCCCTATGTGGAATGTCTGTAAATCCCCCCAAAAATTCCTTCCCATACTACAAAACTTCTCAGATCCTCTAACTCAGGGGTGTCAAAGTCAATTTCATTGAGGGCTGCATCAGCATTGCGGTTGCCCTCGGGCGGGGGGACCGGGTCGGTGCGGCCTACCGGGTGGCCGTGGATGGAGTGGGTGTGGCCTACTGGGTGGGCGTGGCCAGCTCTACATCATTCGCGTCAAGGGTGCCTGTGGGGGCCTGGGCAGGAGTGGGACAGATCTGAGGGTCTCTGGCAGAAAGGGGTGGGACCGGGGCAGAGCCCATCAATCCGGATATGTGAAGTAGGTAAGGGCCATTTGCTGGCCACTTCCAGGCAATGGTGCATTTCTTCATTCCTCACAAAGGGTGACACCTCCCCAGCATGCAACCAGGGGGTGGGGCTGACGTGGCCAACGCTGTTTCCAGACGGCCTTGTGGAGCTAAGACTGGATGCGTTTCAGCATAGATGGCCACCACAAAATTGTCAAGCCGGATATGAGAAGTAGGTCAGGGCCATTTGCTGGCCACTTCCAGGTGATGGTGCATTTCTTCATTCCTCACATGCACCCAGGGGGCAGGGCCAACGCGGCAGGGGCTGGTTCCTCGCTGTTTCTAGACGGCCTTGTGGAACTAAGACTGAATGCGTTTCAACATAGATGGCCACCACAAAATTGTACATTGGCTCCTGGCCGGCCTGGGCCAGGGCCAAGGCAGAGGGGGCCGTTCCCTCACTGTTTCCAGGATGGCTTCGCAGGCCACATGCAACCACTTCGCGGGCCGCATCTGGCCCCCCAGCCTTGTGTTTGACATGTTTGCTCTAACTGGTGAGAAGTTTGCTATAACTTGGCTAGCTTGAGGGAAATGCCTGCTGTCTCAAAGGTTTGTCAGTGTCATCTCATTTCATGGTTTAGTCAGAAAACATCCTACGTAGACGGTGGGAACGCTGTGAATGTAATATACCTTGACTTAGCCATTCATTTGACAGAGAACGCTAAGACATTCACATTAGCAAGATAGTTAAATGTGGGTTAGAAGGCAAGTCTGTTAAGTCAGGGGTCCCCGATCCATGGGCCGTGGACCGCCTGTTGGTAACCGTGTCACGGAAGTGGCAGGCGAATTCACGAAGCTTCATTCGCACATGCGTGGGATCTAGGTTGTGTGTGCAAATCCATCTCGCCCTACTGCCACTGCCGGTCCAGAAAGGATGGGGACCATTATATTAAATGATTCCACAGCTGGCTTGAAAATCATGATCCAAAAGAATTTTCAATTGTTCCTTGTGAAACTAGAAGTGATTTAGGGATTGGGCCACAAGGTTTAATCCTGGATCTGCTACTTTACAAAATGTTTAATAATGACTTGGAAGAAAAGGTGGAGGGAATACTTATCTAACTGCAGAAACTCGGTAGGTTAACTATTATGATAGAAAACACAAATAAAAGCTTTGATGGTTGAGAAGCGGATTAAAAATAACAATGCATTTTAATAAAGACAAATGGGTAATTTCTTTAGTTAGGAAAAAGAAATCAAATGCACAAACCGTAGGATGGGAGAAACCTGGCCTGGCAATGCTTTATGTCAGTGTTTCTCACCCTTGGCAACTTGAAGATGTGAGGACTTCAACTCCCAGAATTCCCCAGCCAGCATTGCTGGCTGGGGAATTCTGGGAGTTGAAGTCCAGATATCTTCATGCTGCCAAGGTTGAGAAACATCAATTTATATGAACCGGACAAGTTTAATATAAGATAGCTGTATACTGTGACTGCTAAAATGGCAAATGCAATTTTCAGTCTGCATCAAAAATGTCATTTCCAAACGATAGACAATAATTGTTTTGCTATATTTTGCAAATGTGTTCAGTTTGGGGAACTTCATTCCCAAGAAAGATTCTGAAAAACTTAAAACGATGGCAAACAAGCAGAGTGAGGATAACCAGAGGAGTCAAAGTTCAACCTCGCGAGCAAAAAATAAGAAGAGGGGTGTACGTGAAACAGGAATATATTTTTGGTTTGAACCCCCTCAAAAATCATATTCCAAATTTCTGCCAACTCTTTCGGATCTGCCCTGGTTTGGCAGAAGCCATACTTGGGATGTTCTGGTTTTGGTTGCAACAAAATCTGCAAAGTTTCTGAGATGATTTTTTTTATATATATAGGAGGCTGGGGCAAGGCTGATATGCAGGCCTCCCCTCCATGGCACAGCCTGGGCACCAGACTGCCCATCATGGACATTCTCCAGGCAGAATAACAGAGTTGGAAGGGACCTTGGAGGTCTTCTAGTCCAACCCCCTCCTCAGGTAGGAAACCCTATATCATTTCAGACAAATGGTCATCCAATCTCTTCTTAAAAACTTCCAGTGTTGGAGCACCCACAACTTCTAGGGGCAAGTCGTTCCACTGGTTAATTGTTCTGTTAGGACGTTTCTCCTTAGTTCTAGGTTGGTCCTTTCCTTGATTAGTTTCCATCCATTCCTTCTTGTTCTGCCTTTGCTTTCCCTTCTCTCTTTGCCACTGCTGATATCTCACTGCAGCAGTTCTCATCAGCCTGTCCACTGCCTTGGTCTAGCCACCATCCTGGTCTATTTCCTCCTCACTTTGATGGTCTCATCGGCAATTGAGGAGTCCTTGGTGCTACCTGAGCTTGGCTGAGCACCCAGCTCAGAGAGCACCAAGGACCTCATTTCAACCATGAGCTACAAATATTCTCCATTACTGGTCATCAGGAATTGCTAAACCACCTTCCAGAGTGATATTTCCCACTGACCTGTCTTCTTCTTTTATATTCATTTCATTTCATTCATATAAATATAGAAAAAAAGAAAGATAGATAGATTGAAAGAAAGAAAGAAAGGAAGAATGAAAGAAAGGAAGGAAGAAGGAAAGGAAAGGAAAGGAAAAAGAAAAAGAAAGAGAGAGAGAGAGAGAGAGAGAGAGAGAGAGAGAAAGAAAGAAAGAAAGAAAGAAAGAAAGAAAGAAAGAAAGAAAGAAAGAAAGAAAGAAAGAAAGAAAGAAAGAAAGAAAAAGATTTTCATTTATCAAATTGATAGGACCACTTATCGCATGCAAGGTGATTTTGGACAATGTACAATAACAGCAATGATTAAAACTGAATATAAGAATCAATTAAAATAAATAATTAAATTACACTGAATAAAAACAACAATCTTTCTACTGCCTTCCCTTCTCCACCTGCTCACTCTTCTACCTCCCTACAAATCACTTTGGCTCCAAATTCACATTTTGGCCTGTAACCAAAACCAAACATCCAAAACATGCATATTTTGATTCGTACACGGATCTTTCCAGATTGGCTGTTTGGGCACAGAAAGTTTTCTAAATCCCTAGAAATAGATACTGGTATGTTTGGTTTGGAGTAATGACGGCTAAGGTAGTGGATTTACAAAGGGATCATTCAGAAAAAGCTTGCAATCTGTTGTTACACAGTAAACGACAAGGAATAATGGATTTAAGTTACAGAAAGGCAAATTCTGGTTGAATGTCAGGAAAAATTTGCTAAGAAAAAAAAGGTTTGATAGGGTCATATTATTCTTATTAGGCTTGATGACTTCAAGGGTCTCTTCCAACACTATGATTCTCTGGCCGATTTTATACAACTGGCCAGTTATAGATCTAGTGGCCACAAAATTCACACAAGCTGCTCCTCTGGGTTAGTGGAATACTTGGTTATATTTTGGGTGGTTTAGGCTGGCCATTTCATTCATTTAGTTTGCGGTCTTGTGCAAACCTTCAAAACCGGTTAATTCTAGAACCAGTGAAATTTATTTTAATGTATTTAAATTTATAAGTTAGTTGTACGAACGCCGCCCATGACCGTACTGTTCAATCTCTTATGGCAGGGCTCTCCAAACTTGGCAACTTCAAGACTTATGGACTTCAACTCCCAGATTTCCCCAGCCAGCCTTCAATCTTAGGAGCTGTAGTCCACAAGTCTTCAAGTTGCCAAGTTTGGAATCCCCTATCTTGTAAAACGAGTATAGTAAACAAAGACCCCAGACAGCAAAACATAAAGAGAGATTGCAGAGTGGGGAGGAGAAGAGACTAAAATGGCCGCCCTACTTGCCTTGCTCCTTGAGTTCACATTTAAGAGGCACACCCCACAGGCCAGTTCCTGAGCATTTTTAATTCCTGGGCGAAGCATACAGGAGGAGAAATCCAGTGAGTTTTCATCAGGCTGCAGGAAGAAAAGAGGAGAATCTTAACATTTCTCAGGGGGAGCAAAGAAACAAGCCCATCCAACTTTTAATCTAGGACAGCCTCTTCGGCCTGGAAGCATCTGTGTGCAGGAACTGTGAGAGCCAGTTTGGTTTAGTGCAGGGATAGGCAACCTTGGCTCTTTTATGACTTGTGGACTTCAACTCCCAGAATTCCTGAGCCAGCCATGCTGAGGGGAAAGGGAGAGTTTCCAAGCTGAGCCATGGTGGCTCAGGAATTCTGGGAGTTGAAGTCCACGAGTCATAAAAGAGCCAAGGTTGCCTACCCCTGGTTTAGTGGCTAAGGTGCCAGGGTAGAAACTGGGAGACAGTGCATTCTAGTCCTGACTTAACCATAAAAGCCAATTGGGTGATTTGGGGCCAATCACTCACACTTAATCCAATTCACCTCACAGGGTTGTTGTTGTGGGGAAACGGGAGGAGGAAGATATGGGGGACATGTTCGCCACCTTGAGTTATTTCTAAAAATAATAAAGGCGGGAGATAAATATAAATCTAAACTCAAATAGGAAGAGGTCTTCCTCATAACTTGCTCTTTCGACCTTGAACTGCCTAAGTTTAGTCCTAGAGCAAGGGTCCACAACCCCTGGTCCGTGGACCGGTACCGGGTCGCGGCATGCCACCAACCGGTCCACACAAACAAGCAAAACCCCATCCGTGGGATGCAGGCAGCACACAAAATTACCCCCCCCCCCCAGTCTGTGGAAAAAAATTTCTCCACAGAACCGGTCCCTGGTGTCCAAAAGGTTGGGGATCTTTGTGGAGAAAAATTTCTTAGAGGAACCTGCCTATAAAGCAGATGTTCTTCCTCTGAATTTTCTTCCGTCAGGAGATGATATAGATCAGAGTTCCCCAATCTTTTCGCGTGGGCAACCCAGAGGGCGGGGAGGGGGAAAAGAGGGGATGGTTTTGTGGGAGAGGAAGATGCGTGTGTGTGTGCATGCGTGTGCATGAGCACCTGTTGCTCATGTGAGGCCGAGATCACCTGTGACGCTTGCATGAGTGAGGCTCTGAGCACTCACGCGAGTGGGGCCGTGAGCATCTGTGTCACTCATGCAAGTGGGGCTACGAGTGCTCACAATGCTGGTGTAAGTGGGGCCCTGAATGCCTGCGACACTCGAGCAAGTGGGGCCCCGAGCACTTGCAATGCTTGTGTGAGTGGGGCTGTGGGAGTACATGCGCGTACCAGCCAGCCACTCACGTGGCTCGGTTGCGAATAGGCCACGAACCGGTAGTGGGCCACGGCCCACAGGTTGGGGACCCCTGATATAGGTAGTCCTTGACTTATGACCACAATTAGGACCGGAATTTTCATCATACGTCAAGTCAGACCCAATTTTACCACAATTTTTACAGTGGTTGTTAAATGAACTGCTGTTATCATTAAGTGAATCACACTGTTGTTAAGGGAATCGTGCAGTTGTTAAGCAAATCCAGCTTCCCCAGTGGGCATTTTTTGCTGGGAAACAGAATTAAAGGCTGCAAATGATGAACATGAGGCTGCAGGAAGTTGCAACCCATCATAAATGCAAGCCAGGTTCCATGTGCCTGAGTTACGATCATATGATTCTGAGGGTGCTGCGATGGTTGTAAGTGCGAGTACAGGTGATAAGTAATTTTTTTTCTGACATTTTTGAACCGTCATTAAATAAACTGTTATAAGTTGAGGACTATCTGTAATTCCGCAGGGCTCCAAAAATGCCAGTTTTTGGTTTCTGTAGGTGCACAACATGCCACCTGACCTGCATGAAAATTAGTTTTAGGGCAGGGATTCCTGGAATGAATGCCTTGTATAATTCAGGGGCTGCTTGTACTAGGACGGTAAAATTGCAATTTACTGGAGAATACACCAGACACTGCACACAGCAGGTCCAGTTTCCCCAATGCTCCATGGCATTTTGTTAGTGACACATCAGTGATGTCCTTTCCTATTTTAACATTTATGAATAACAAGCACCCTCTCCTCCCAAATCTGTCGATTAAAATAAGGTTTTGTTGTATTAAAAAAAGAGGACACATGCGATTTTGACTTGAAAAAGTCAACTTTCCCACTTTGTTGTTAGTTGCAAGGTCATGTCTGACCCATTGCGGCCCCATAGACAACGTTCCTCCAGACCTTCCTGTCCTCTACCATCTTTTGGAGTCCATTTAAACTCACGCCTACTGCTTCCATGACTCCATGCAGCCACCTCATTCTCTGTCGTTCTCTTCTTCTATTGCCCTCAATCTATCTCACCATTAGGCCCTTCTCCGGGTGAGTTCTTCCTTCTCATTAGGTGGCCAAAGTACTTGAGTTTCAACTTCAGGATCTGGCCTTCTAAAGAGCAGTCAGGGTTGATCTCCTCTAGACTGACCGGTTTGAGCGCCTTGCAGTCCAGGGGACTCGCAGGAGTCTTCTCCAGCACCATAGTTCAAAGGCCTCAATTCTTTGGCGCTCAGCCTTTCTTATGGTCCAACTTTCACAGCCATACATTGCAACTGGGAAAACCATGCCTTGACTATACACACTTTTAACTTTCCCACTAGGGAACATCAAAATGGAAAGATTGGAGGAATAGATGTCCCAAACCAGAATCCTAATGCTACGGCCCAGTGTTTCTTAGATTCGGTCACTTTAAGAGGCGTGGACTTCAACTCCCAGAATTCCTGAGCCAGCCATGCTGAGGAGAAAGGGAGAGGTTTCCATGCTGAGCCATGCCGGCTGAGGAATTCTGGGAGTTGAAGTCCACGAGTCATAAAAGAGCCAAGGTTGCCTCCCCTTGCTCTAGCCAAACGGGCAATTGTTCCAACGCACTTTACCGTTAAGGCTGCAAGGGACATAAATCCGATCAGGTTATTCCACACTTTATCGATATCCTTCAGGAGCAGCTGGAGTTTCTCACTGCAGACGGCAGTGGCTTTGATGCCCAGCTCCACTCGCTTCGTGACTCGATAAACTTCAACGACCCCTGTGAAGCATTTGAAAAAAAGAGCATTTATAAAAATTTTTTTTTATTGAATATATAGTTAAAAACAAAAAAGACACAGTGGACATGATACAACTTCCCTGGTTTAAACAATACTATTAGTATTACCTTGTAAAAAAAAAGGAAAAAAAGTTTCTTTACATTATAACAAAATATACATATAGAGTATTCTGACTGTTTGCTTTATAAAGTTGATATGAATTTTGAGCATCTTTTTACTATTCTGACTCTGAGTTAAAAACGCCTTCTTTAAATCCAGTCAGATAGATAACACAAAGAAATGATTTCATAACAAGAAATATATTTATAATCAGATAGGTTACTTGCTTTCATGACGATTGCCTCTGATATTACATCTCCTGTTCATTTCTATCGGTAAATTGATGTTGGATTTTCCCCTCTTCTGCCCAAGCGTCACATGGTGGGATGATTGTGGGATCTCCAGCCGTGCGGCTGGATGCCATTCACAAGATGAACAAAAGAACTCCCCTGTGGCTAGTGTCCAGGAAGTCTCTCAAAGCCCTTTAGAAACTCCTCCCACTGACCTATTACTAACATACTGATACGTGCTCTCTAGTTAGGGTTACATAGAGCTATACGAGGTTACATGGAGCTATATGGTCCAGAATATAGAGTCTATGGACTTTCTGGTAAGCATTCTTTCAATCATATACATTGTGGTTAAATAACTTTCAATTCTATCTTATGAAAAATACTAGTATAAAAATTTCTAAATTATCAACTTATCAATCAACATTCATCCTAGCATGCCTCCTTGACTCTAGCCATTTATACACTTCATTCCAAATTTCGAAGTAGTCTGTTTCAGTTTTATTTTTAAGTTCTAATGTTAACCTATCCCAGGGGTAGGCAACCTCGGCTCTTTTATGACTCATGGACTTCCACTCAGGAATTCTTGGAGTTGAAGTCCATGAGTCATAAAAGAGCCGAGGTTGCCTACCCCTGACCTATCCATTTCAGCGCAGGATAGGATTTTATTTATTACTTCTTCTTCGGTAGGGGTTTCTTTTCTCTTCCATTTCTGAGCATAGGCTAGTCTTAATGCAGTTAGAATGTGCAATACTAAATATAAAGATCCTTTGCTGAATTTATCCTTGGTAATCCCTAATAAAAAGGTTTCTGGTTTTAATTCGATTTTTTGTGATAATATCTCTTCCAGCTAATTTTTTATCAGATGCCAAAATTCTTGCGCTTCTGAGCATTCCCACATGTGATAGTAAGTCCCTGGTAATTTTCTACATTTCCAACATATCGATGAGGATTTTTTGTCCATTTTTGCTAGTCTTATATAGATTTTCTTTATAGGTGGTAGCTAACATTAGCTTCCTATTCCTATCCCATAATAGTTGCCAATTATCTAAATCGATACTATAGCCAAAGTTTTTGCTCCAAATTAGCATTGTATCTTTTATTGTTCTTCTAGCATGTCTTGTTCTAGTAAATATTGATATATTTTTTTTTATCGTTTTATCTTCTGTTCCTAGTAGGATTTTATCTAATTCTGTGTGTTCTAATTTTATCCCGGGTTCTTTTTTATCTTTTCTGTATCGAGATTGTATTTGCAAATATGCCCACCATTCCGGCTCTATGCCATCTTCTAATAGTTTTTCTCTTGTTTTCAACTCTCCGTTCTCATCTAGAATGTCTTTATATGTAATTACCCTTCCTAAGTTCATAAATTTTGGGTGAAAAAATATCTCCAATGTTGATATCCAATTGGGGATTTTCATGTAATTAGATTTTTTAATTTTAGTCCACACATCTAATAGTGCCCGTCTAATATAGTGTTTCTGAAAATACTGATGTGCCTTGTGTTTCCTGTCCCATAGTATCGCATGCCCCCCTATCTGCATGTCGTGGCCTTCTAATGCTAACAATCTCCTATTCCTTAGGAGTATCCATTCCTTTATCCAAGCAGATGTTGCCGCCTGATAGTATTTTTCCCAATTTGGGAGGCCGAATCCTCCGCTTTCCTTTACGTCTTGTATTAACTTGAATTTAATTCTCGGTTTTCTCCCTTGCCAAATAAATTTGTGTTTGGCTGTTGCAACTCCAAACGGTTCTTAAGCAACTGGTCATAAGTCAAGGACTACCTGCAATTGTGTTACCTAGATATGAAATCAAATAAAATGATACCTAATAAATATTCCATGCCCTGCATAGACTGGATGACTTCAGTACATACAGAAGAACTGCTGATTCCGTTCAGGATGTCGTTTGCTTTCTTGATGACCTATTAGGGGAGAAGTTCGTTTAGCGCAGTTGTGGCAAAGTTACTCCTTCAGCTGCTAAGTTTTATCCAATTTTTATCCTACATTGCTTATTTTACATAAAATAGCGCATATTATTATAATACTCTTCCCCAACTTTATAAACAGTCGCAGAACTGTTCAGGGAACTCTCCGTGTGCAGTTGAGGGTGGTGTCAAGATTACTAATCACCACCAATTCTCTTTTATTAGTACGAATCCCCACTACTTGTCATTCAAACCAGAACACACCGCAAAATATGCAGAGTTCTTTCTCCTAGTGGTTGCGATACATTTGCTACAATGGACCTGTTTCCTTACACCATGGGTAGGCAACCTTGGCTCTTTTATGACTCGTGGACTTCAGGAATTCTGGGAGTTGAAGTCCACGAATCATAAAAGAGCCAAGGTTGCCTACCCCTGACTTATACGCTCTTAGACTACACAGCTTACAGGGAGTCCTCGACTTATGACAGTAATGGAGTCTGCCCATTGTGGTCATGAGTTATGACAGTCATAAAGCAGGTTGTCACACATCCAATCTATTTTTATGACCTTGTTTTGTGGTGCTCATTAAGCAAATGCTGTGTTTGTAAAGCAAACGCTGGGGCGGTTGTTAAGCGAACCAATTGTTTGCTAAGAGTCAGTTTTGCTGAAAACTGGAAGTAAATGCCAATTTTTGGCGAGGATGTCATAAAACGTGATCATGTGACCGTGGGACCCAGCAAATGGCTGTAAATTGCCGAACTTCAGAACTAGGTCATAAGTACCTCTGGAGAGGTCAGTTGTAACTTTGAATGGTTGCGAAGCGATCACTCATAAGTCAAGGGCTACCTATACTATTCTTATGCCCCTGACCTTATGCTTTAAGATCTCCCCACTTAAGGGATCTATAGTTGTTACAGATGTTATAATGGTTATTGACCAGCAGGAGGCACTATGTAACTGGTTTCCAGAAATGTGTTGCACAGGGCCTCCTCCTGGTTATTAGGAGTTATAACATAGATACATCTGGAATAGAATAACAGAGTTGGAAAGGACCAACCCTGGTCTTCTAGTTCAACTCCCTGCACAAGCAGGAGACCCCATACCATTCTGTCCAGTCTCTTCTTAAAAACCTCCAGGGTTGGAGCACACACAAGGTAAAGCCGTTCCACTGGTTAATTGTTCTAACTGTCAGGAAATTTCTCCTTAGTTCTAGGTTGGTTCCTTCCTTGATTAGTTTCCATCCGTTGCTTCTTGTCCTGCCTTTAGGTGCTTTGGAAAATAGGTTAACCACCTCCTCTTTGTGGCAGCCCTTTAGATCAGACATGTCAAACACAAGGCCCAGGGGCCGGATGCGGCCCACGAAGTGGTTTCATGTAGCCTGCGAAGCCATCCTGGAAACAGTGAGGGAACGGCCCCCTCTGCCTTGGCCCTGGCCCAGGCCAGCCAGGAGCCAATGTACAATTTTGTGGTGGCCATCTATGCTGAAACGCATTCAGTCTTAGCTCCATAAGCCCCTCCCCCCGCATGGCCTGAGAGGAACAGTGAGGCTCCTCCAGTGGACCATGCCTTGGCACTTGCCCCGGTCCCACCCCTTTCTGCCAGAGACCCTCAGATCTGTCCCATTCCTGCCCAGGCCCCCACAGGCCCCCTTGACGCGAACAGTGTAGAGCTGGCCACACCCACCCAGTAGGCCACACCCACTCCATCCACACCCGCCCAGCCACACCCACCCGGCCCCAAGGGCAACCACAATGCTGATGCGGCCCTCAATGAAATTGAGTTTGACACCCCTGCTTTAGATAGTGGATCACTGTTATCATATAATCCTTACTCCTTCTCTTCGTTAAACTAGACCAGTGGTTCTCAACCTTTTTAATGCCGCGACCCCAACCGGTTGTAAGTCGAGGACTAAACCGGTCATAAGTCGAGGACTAAACCGGTCGTAAGTCAAGGACTGAACCGGTCGTAAGTCGAGGACTACCCAACCGGTCGCAAGTTGAGGACTTTCCCTACCCGGGAGCGCTGCACATGCGTGGTTCCGCCCCCTGCGCCGGCCGAGGCGTAGCTGGCAAGCGGCAGAGACGGAGCAGGCCGACCACCAGCTGGCCCAGCCCAAGGGAGGTAAGGCACCCGCCAGAAAAGGGGAAAAATGGCGGACCAAAAAAAATGGCGGACAGCCTTGCTTGGTGACCCCCGTGAAATGGTCGATCGACCCCAAATGGGGTCCCGACCCACAGGTTGAGAACCACTG